GACACACGTGCCCTCATCGGCCTGCGGCTGCAGGTGCTGAGGAGCCAGGAGGGCGTCGGAAGGCTCCTCCAGCAAGGCGGCACGGGGGGCAGGAGCGCCCAGCTGAGCGGGCATCACCGCCTTCAGTGAATACTCCAGCTGACCTCCGTTAGCAGCCGCCTGCTCTAGGATATTGGGAGCAGATCCCGGTAGTGCCGGAGCTGAAAACTCTGCCTGGCTCGGTATGCCAGCAGAAGATGCTGCGGCAGGAACTTGTGCCAAAGATGGAGAGGCTCCGATGGGGCCGGCACATACACCCGCTTGTAGGGGAAGCTGCTGACCAGCCAAGACACCAGGCAGATCTGTCACCGCAGAGCTCGCTTGCTGATCATCCAACTGCTCCAGGTCTAGAAGGCATGCAAACATCAGGTTAACTTTTTCATGAGCCGCACAGAATGAAAGAAAGTCACTGCAAAACTTCCTGGTTAGCTGCAGTGATAACCACATCTAGCCGTAACCCATTAGCGCTTCTCATCAGAAAATAACTGTTATACAAGTCAAACTAGAACCTAAAATTACACATTACACAAGAATATCTCACTGAAAAGACACTGCTTATTAAAACAGCAGTGACTAGAACTTCAGCTACCTTATAGCGTAAGGCAGAGTTGAAATACTGAGACCGTCCTGAAACTCAAATAAACATTCCTAATTTGATTCAACACCAGAAACACACTTAAAATGCATGACTTAACAAAATTCATCATTTTCTTCCTCTGACTAAATGAAATGAAACAATCACAACTAAGTCAGTTGAGAATAGAAGAGAGATGACACAGCAACTTCAGAGAAGAAAACATTTTCTATAAAGTTTGTCAATACCTGGACCTTCAGACTGCTGTGTACTCTGAGGTACTGGTGGAGAAAATTCTGGTGCATCAGTAGTAGGGTTTTCCACAACAGGACATATAATAAACCACCTTTTTCCAGTATGCAAAACTAGAGATGAAAAGAAAATAACAAGTAAACACAGTAGTTTCAATTCATTCCAGATCATCTGTCAAAACCTACTCTTAATTTCCATGTTTAGAAAGAAAATCAGAAGTTCTACAGGATTAGCCAAGATTAAATCAACAGCTCCTAATGTGATTCTCGTCCCTTCTGGAAGGGAGACAGGGATGCCTCCCACTTCTGCCACATATTTTAAGTTATTTGAAAATTTATTTTCAAATGTTCATACTTTCAGAAGGGTAATAGTTATGTACATGAAAATTTTATTAACAGTACTGTGGACAGTTTTCTCACAATGAAAAATTTGTTAATTTTGTAAAGTTTATCCAGCTTAATGTTTCCATGTTGGAAGTTTTCTAGCTAATATTTCCTTCCATATTTTATCTCAAAGCCTGGCATATGTAAATGGCAAACCAGAACTATACACACTTTGTCACTCTCATTAGTAGAAATATAAATGTTATGTTAAAAAAGGTGTACTGAGAAAATTGTATGATGTTTACAGGCAAAAAATAAACCGGCTCTTTTGAGCAGAAAGACTAGTTTGGAGGATTACCCAGTTTCTGCACTTGTCAAAGAAGTTCTAAATTATCCTTCTTCCCCTGTAAGCATGGAGCAAATACACAGCGCCACACGCAGTAACAAGAATTTTGGAAACAATCCTTCAGCAGAGGTTTCATTTTTCCCACCAGCATACACTTCCAGAGAGAATCAAGGGCCAATTCCCTTCCCGTTCCATTTGTCTGTAAAACCCGTAAGATACAATTGTGTTCAGAAGGCCAAGATCCCCCCGTAGTACCAAAGTAGCTGAAAAGTTACGGGTTAGAAATTTCAATTAAATTACCAATGCAAACATAATCTTTTAGCTTTCTCTTGCAAATGTAGTTATTGTTGTGGAAAGAGTATGCTCGCCTGTACCTTCTTGACTGTTCCACCACTGATTATCAGCTTGTGTAATTCAGGGCTTCCCTAAACATCCCCAATGTTAGATTCATCCAGGTTAGCCCCGCAACCTTCCAAGTCGCTAACAGCAGGGACCACTGTTATACCTGTATTTCTAGATATATTTCCAACCACCAGTAACTGGTGGATTTCTTCCTGAATCTAGCAAACTTCTGCATAGGCTCATAATTGCCTTAGAGCTTGAGATTAAGTTTGTATTCAAAGGCACATTTACCATTTTGTTGATACACGGGTGTCTTCATTTGAGACTGCCGCTTCTCCTGTTAAAAAAACAAAACCAGAACAATAGAAGAACTAGCTGCCTTGTATCAATGCAAGAGGAGCATCATTCTAAGGAGCACTCATTGTAAGCCTTAATGGAGTAAAAGCATTATTTTTCTAGCTAAGAAACATTTTTTTTAAACACAGGATGTAAAACTAATTTACAGTAACTGGCTGTTAAGAAAAAGGAATCAAACTAGGAATCTTTATTTAACATCTCTTACCTCATTCATTTCCAGTCTATCGGTGTCTTGCTGGGGACTCGTTCCCTGATCAGAACTTCGTTCTCCTTCTGTATCTTCACTGAGCATATCTTCTGCTTTATCAATAATATCTTTCATTTGTTCAATAAATGTCTCTTTTTCACTCTGCAATATGAATTCATTCTCTACCTATAAGGCCACATCAAAATAAAGAGGAAAACAGTAACGTTTCAATTAACGCCCCGTTCCACAGCTACCAGAACACTTAGTCCACAAGCACACATGCGAATAAGTTGGGTGAAGCAACTTGGTGCATTAAGAGACCGTGGGTAGCCGCATCACCAAGTCTTACCATGTAAGTAGCAATTTCCTCTGGCGCATCACCATCCAAATCAAACTTAAAAGTCACCATTTTGTGATTGTGTGTTTCAAGCTGGCACTCCACCATCTTATCCCCCGTGTTACAAACCTGCAGGCAAAGATTAACAACAGTTATTTCTGGCACAGCCAAAGGAATCCTAAAGTTACCCTCAAAGAGATTGTACTTGCATTTAATATGGTCAGTTTTGGTCTGCTGGACTTCTCCTGGCGTGAACGAGCACGTGTAGATTTCTTATGTTTCTTTGAAGACTTTCCTTCTTGTTTTCCACTTCCTATTGCTCCTTCAAAGCTGTCACTCATCTCTTTACCTGAAGCAACATCTGGACTCATGTAGCTTTGTAAGAGAAAGGAAGAAAAACCCCAAAATAAAACCACTGTCACACACGATGAAGTTATGCAACAGAGACTGCAAAAAAAAAGCGCACAGCTGCACTCTTCTGGCCCAAACCAAGCCCGCTACTGAAAGATGCTCAGTACCCGAAGGGACTATAAAACCACCGTCACACACGATGAAGTTATGCATAGGTAAGATATGCAACAGAGACTGCAAAAAAAAGTGCACAGCTGCACTCTTCTGGCCCAAACCAAGCCCGCTACTGAAAGATGCTCAGTACCCGAAGGGACTACTCCAAGTCAGGCATGTTCTCAGGCTATCACACCTAATAAGAAATGATCTATTAACATTTCCTCCAATACCATAGGGAAAGTCCCATCACTCTTAATATATCACTACATCCCCCTAATCCCTTCACCTCAGGGATCCTAACAGTCCCTCTCTGAACTGCACAAGCTCCTGTTTTCCTAAGGTCTGCTTTTCTGAACTCCTGCCTGTCCACACTCACAGCAGAAGGTCTAAACAGGGTCAGTTTATGTTTGTCGGAGATGAAGGAAAAGAGTGAGAAGTTGGTACAGCATCCCGTAAGAGACTGCCTCTCCTCTCCCTGCAGTTCTCAAGAACCAGAAGGAAGGTTTTATGCCAGATAAATATCCCAGATGAGCAGCTAGCAACAGTATATTATTGTTAGCAGCCAAAACAGTAGCTGCTAACAACCTTATTGCAATATGACATGTACAGAAAACATCAACATGCAAGTAATTTGCAGGAAATTTTCAGAGGTTCATAAAAAACATGTCAGGAAGGAACCTTGTAAGGCCATCTGGCCTGTTCATTACCCCAAGGTATGATCAGCTCTGTCTAAACCAGTCCTCACAGAGCTTTGTGTAAACTGATCTTAAAAAGCTCCTGTGAGATTTCATAACCTTCCCGGGCAAGTTATTCCTGTGTTCATTTAGCCATACAGGCATAAAAGAATTTAAGAATTTAAGTCTAACCTATGGTGACTATGCTTGAATTTAAGACCTTTACTTCTTGTTCTGCACTAGTTGCACAGAACAGCTTACTTCTACTCCCTTTGCAGCTGCCTTGTACGTGTAACTCGTACATTAGGAAAGTGAACACATTTTGCGCATAGGGTATGCTCTAGATCACATCTTTGCTGCAATTGCCAGCCGGGTGATTCACACGCCATTACCCTCCACTCTACAAAAGCACAACCCAACTCCAGCGCTGAGTTACCTATGCACCTGGAAAAGAGAGACCTCCCTCTATGACTACGAGACGTGTGCTGACACAGACTCTCCGTGCTGCTGCAGTCACGACAGTCAGCTTCTCAAACACAATTCTGGAACAGGCAAATTAGAACTCAATAGGTGACTGAAAATTTGATTTGCCTTTCTACAACTGATTAGATAGACAAAATGAACTCATTTTGTGTAACTTATTTATAGCCAGAACTAACCTATAGTCATGAAAAATTAGATTTCACTTTCCATGAAGTATTTAAAAGCAGCAAATTCTTGGGAAAAAAGGTTCCATCTTAAGGTCGTGGGGTTGCATTGACTTGCGTCAGGCTAACTTGTTTGGTGGGGTAGAATGAAAACAGTAAGAGAGAGGTGTCTTCAAAGTTCATAAACTTAACTCGCCTCATCTGTTCAGGAAAATAGAAAAGGGTCACTAAAACCCTAACCCCAAAGCTTTACAATCAAATAAGGACGAAGGTGGTGCTGGCTCCTGCAATAGGTAAGGCATTCAGCTGCTTATGAACACACACTGTTCATATCTACCTTATTCATATCCAAACACTGAAAAACCCGGCTTACTGCTGGTGCCAAAGCAGGAGCTGTAGCGCGGGAGCAGCAGATGCCTGGGCAGCAGAGTCCTGCCCCCGAAGCAGCAGCCACTGCCCCCAGGCAGCCCCTCTCCAGTCCAGCAGCAAGCCTTCCTCTCCAGGGCTCTTCCTCACTGCTTCCTCCAAACCTTGCTGCTTCCCCTTCTGCTTCCGAGTACAGAAACAGGCAGATGAGGGCTGGCAAAAATTGAAATTTGCTGTCATTTCTGAGGAGCACTGAGCTGGCTCTGGGGGTTATTTATCATTAGTTCTGTAATTAGCGTTACTAGGCTTGAGTGTGACCTCGCGCACTGCAAAACCACAGAACAGGGTTTGGCTGCGTGTTCTAACACTTGTTGTAACGATACCTTTGAGTAGCTCAACACACAACTCTCACCGATACACCGTTCCCCGTAACATACCTGGGGAAAGATCATTACAGAAGGTGATACAGGCATAACCAGTCTGAAAAGGGAGTAAACTATATACCCAATTATAGTAGCGTGGCATGTCTTTATACAGATTGAACAGCATCCAACCCAGGGACTGTACCACTTCAGTTATCTTAACAAAAAGAGGTTACCTGCTGAAATGAAAGCTGTTGTACGTACATCAAGGCTAGGATGCAGCACCCAAACTAAAGAATTAAAAGAGTTGGAGGAGCCAAAATAGGCACACTGCACACAGAACATCTGCAGCTTTCTCCCTAGTCTTGCACCCTTCCATCTTCTCCTGGTCAGCTCCTGCTACTCTTCTCTCAGCCAAGGCAAAGGCCAGGCATTTGGCTCAGCCTTGTAAAGAGAAAGAGGAAAAACAGCCTCCAGAAAGAAAACATTTCTTATGCCAAAGAGATTATAATGATACCTTTCACAGCTCTGTGACAGAGTTTGAAGTTTGTCCTGTATTGCTTGCTCCTAAAATGTAAGAAAAGGTCATTTAAGTAAATGCATTATATTGGCAGATGAAAAACACCTTTAAGAAAGCTTTGCTGTTGAGACACCAGTAATCTTAAACCCTTCTGTTTAACCAATTCTTGGAACTCAGAAAAAAACAAATGTCCCATTGTACCCTCGCAACATTATTCCTGTCCAAAGCATCAATATCTGTGCACAACCACTTTTTAAGACAGAGCCACTAATCTGCTAGTCCCCTTCTGCTGTCTCTAAAGCAGAAGAGGTGGTGAAAGAAACAAAACAGTTATCACCACAGTGGAAAAACTTGATTGCAGGACAAATCCACCTACCAAATTTTTTTTTTTGAATGGATATAAAGTATAAGCTAATTTGCTTCATTGCTTTGTATAGTTTCCTGAAATATGTTAAGTAGTTTCATTGTATTTGGCTTATTGTGAAAATTTCTGGGGAACTTGCAAATAAAAGATGAAAATTCATCATTTAAAAACACCGCTCTCATATCATGTCCTCTTGCTCTCTACACAATAGAAATTTTCCCTAAAAGCTTCCCTCTTCACTGCTTGCAATGCTAGGATAGACGTCGGTAGTGACTTTCGCATCGGGTAGACCTGTTTTCACAGAATTTGTGATGACGATGCTGCTGGCCCTACTGCAACAAACTTACCATATATGTACACAGACACACACACACCTGTGCATGTATATATATACACACACCCCCCAAATATATTCA